GGTTTGTAATCTGAGCCAGCACTACAGGAAGAGGCCCTGAGCTGAAAAGGGAAGTTCTGCAGAGCATGAGAAGACATGAGGATTTAAAAGGAAGAGCAGCAAAGAGAAGGGAAACAACCATGGATTTCAGTAAGGCACACATTACAGTATTGTTTTATGTTAAAAAATCTGAGGGTTTAATGTCACTTTAATAAACACGACAAACGCACCTAAAAACCGCGCTTAATCTGCACTGAAACACTTTTGCCTAGGTGTGAATGAAGCCTTATAAACTTGTCTAGATAGGCCTGGAGCAAAGACATAAAGAATAGGTGCAAGGCCTACATGATAGGGTAAACAGGGAGCCGAAAGGGTTAAAAGGTTTGTCTTTTGTTTTAAGGAGGTGACTTACCCTATTGGTTGAGGATATATTCTAGGGTGGGGTTTCTATGGGCTGAGGAGGCAAAGAGTTTTCTTCATCAGTTGAGGTATGACAACACGACAAGTGAACTTCCCGCCCACTCTTTGAAGGTGGTAAATTTGGTGCTGGTTGGAGTGTTTTTGGGAGGATCCATCTCTGGTATGGAGTCCTTGATTCATCATGGTCAACTGGAGTGCACCTAGAATTCTTCAGATGGGGTTGGTCTCTGCAATTCTCTCTCTCCAAATGTGTCTATTTGGTTATTGGTGGGTAAGGTATTCTGGTGAGATTGGGGAATGGTGGGGGGTAGCAGGATCCTAGAGGGTGGACTGGGACATATGTTCCACCCTTGTCATGTCAAATACATGGGCAGCACAGTGATTTAGTGGTTAGCCCTTCTGCCTTGCAACCCTGGAGGTCCCGATCGAATCCTGGGCAAGACACTATCTTCATGGAGTATCTTCATGTTCTCCATAAGCTTGCATGGTTATACTTCAGTTTCCTTCTACACTCCAATGACATTCTGGTAGATTAATTGGCTCCTGCATAAATTGGCCCTAGTGTGTGGTGCAGTGGCGTAACAACCGGGGGTGCAGCAGGGGCGCGGGCCCCGGGCGAAAAGTGAAGGGGGGGCGCCGGCCGAAAATGGCACTTTCGGCTAAATGCCGAAAGTGACATTTTCCTGCAGTTTTGCCGGCGCGCCCGTGATTCCTTTCATCCCCGCTGGGACACAGAGCAGTGCCCAGCAGGGATGAAAGGAATCAGAGAGAAAATGACAGCCGGCCGAGCGCTGCGGGACGAGCGCTGTGAGCGGCCGGTGTCTTTCCTCCCACACCGCTCGGCCGCCTATCACAGTGCAGCAGAGCGGTGTGGGGGCGGAGACAGCCAGCGCTGTCACAGGAGGCTGGGCTCTCCTCTTGCAGCCTCCTATGACAGTGTGTGTCAGAGAGGAGAACGGGTACAAGCACTCAGTGATCAGTGATCGCTGAGTGTTTGTACATAATTGAGGACCTGGTATGTATACTATATCCTCAATTATGAATGAATGGGAGTGATCTACATCTCCTCCTGTTCATTCATAATTGTAGTTATAGTAAACATACCATGTTATCAATGAACAGGAACACTCATAAAGGATTCCTGTTCATTGATAACAGGGGACACAGAAAAAGAGATTGAGGACTCTGTGTCCTCAATCTCTTTTTCTATTTTTAAAGGGAAATATCAGGGGTCTGTTTAGACCCCCAATATTTCCCCGAAGCCCCTAAAAGTAAAGTAAAAAATAAAAATATTTAATAAAAAATTAATGAATAAATAAAAATTGATTTAAAAAAAATGAAAAAGTTTCAAAAAAAATAAAATATTAAAATTTGAAAAATTAAAATAAAAACATGTGTGTGTGGGGGGGGAGGTGCAGGGTACAGTTCCAGTGGTTGTTTATATAATGGGGGAGGGGGCGGAAAAAAAATTCTGCCCCGGGCGCCCAGAACTCTGATTACGCCACTGGTGTGGTGTGTGTGTATATGCACGTGAGATGGGAACCTTGGATTGTAAGCTTCTGATGTAAATGTACAGTATTGTAAATTGTCAGGGCTATATACAGTAAAGATCTATAATAATCAAAAGCATCTGGGAAGAGATGCCGTGACCCTCTGTGCTTAGAAATGCCTGTAACTGATACTGTTTAGACAGCATGCAGCCACTGTCCCTTGCCTAGTTCCTAGGGGGGACCCATGTCAAGAGTTTGAAGAAAGGCATAAGTCCATCAAGCTCAACCTAGAACTCATATCTTTTATGAAGAGAATCTACCCTAAAATCCGGTCAACAGTAACTCAATGCTGATGCACTTCCTGTCTATCCTATAGCATTTCTGAAGATTGCCAGTCTAGAGGAAGCAGGAGAGCTGTGGATACAGTGTATGAGATAGACCAGTGTCATGTGCATACTTTACCTCTATCACAGCCACAACAGTGGATACAGACAAGTCAAAGATACTGGTCTTGTTCAGTTTCAAGGGTGGACCCATGTCATCACATATACACAGGGCCGTCTTTAATATTGATTGGACCCTGGGCAAACAATTCCTTGGGCCCCCTGCCCACTACCTGCCATGCCCGTGAACCCTAGATGCCTCGTGTGCAGGGCTGATGCAAGGTTTTTTCCTACACAGGCAAAGGTGCTTCCACCCCCCTGTGCCCTCAGACAGCTGCCTATGCAGCCTTGTGCTAATGCCGGCCCTCTCTAGATTGCCCCAAAGCCTCCCAGAATACATGACATATTGCAGGTAACTGGGGACATCATTCCTGCCTAGGCAAGAAAGGCATAAGTGCAGTCTGTATTCCATGTTAAAAAAAACAACAACCTGTATTTTCTATTTCAAGCAAGGGGGGCACTATACTATAAAGAAAAAAGTATTTTGGGTTTACTGTAAGTAAATATGTCAGCACACACTTGTAATTGGTTAGATTTACAGTTCCAGTGATTATGGTGATACCTGGTGTGAGGCTCCGGAGAGTGAACACAGCAGGGGTTGCAGCTCATGGCACATTGAGGGCTCCAAGCAGGCCCCAGGCAACACAGTGAGTACGGAGAGCCAGGGGCGGGGCTGAGTGGATAGTGGGCGGAGCCCGAAGTCCCGTCCATGCTGCTGCATGTAGCCTGGCACCGACGCCGTGTACACAGACAGGAGGCTGGTCCGGTGTAAGTCCCCATTCCTACACAGGTGAGGTTGCCAGCCCTGTATCTTTTGCAGGCTCAAGGGGCAGCTGCTTTGGGCCCCACAACAAGGACTAGGCCCTGGGCAACTGCCCATTTTGCCCTGCGTTAAAGACGGCCCTGCATATACAGATGGTCTGCCCTTAAAACCAGTCAATGGTAACACAATGCTAGTGAACTTTGTGTATATCCTATAGTATTTCTGAAGATTCCCAGTCTGGATGAAGCACCAAAACCATTGTTACCATATATTAGATAGATCAGTGTCATGTGCATACCTTACCTATATTTTTAGCTACAACATTGGACACAGATAAGGCAAAGATACTGGAAGCCATAAGAAGAATAGACATTGGCTATGACTCACCCTGGATCAAAGATGGTCCATGTTTGTCACACAGTATGTGCAACTCCTGGCCAAATACAGGCAAAACCGTTCACTTGAAACCTATAATGACTGCATACGCAAGCTAACTAAAGTGTATACTGATACAACATATCACAAAGTATATTTGCATATGCTGGGGTGCAATCATGCTATTCAATAACAATATACAACATTTTCATATTTATGTAGCAACAGTTCCAGAGTATACAGACCTATTTCCATGAATCCCGGCGGCGATGGTATTTACAACGTATATACAAATACACAAACACACGCAGCATGCACATTTCAGGTTTCTGAGTCATGAAGGCGCTCCTTGAGCCTTGAGTAAGAATAAGCAACAATGAGCTTCTCCTATTTGTTACCTTTTGGTCTTGTAAATATACCATTGAAAGAGATTAGTTTTATCTATGTGTTAAGTGCAAACACATACCTGTTGATCCTACCAGAAATATTAGTTATTAACTTCCTGTGTTCTCTGCCTGTGCTGTTCCCTTTTGCAACTTGGTAGCCCAAACACACCACTCTGGACCAACCCAAAGACCCAGATATGGTCTTACAGTAGTTCCACTGCACACACTTGAACTGTCACACTATGGGGTCTGAAGAAGGGGGACATTAATCCTCCAAGCTGGATCATTTTATTGATTATCAATAAGATTTGACTCCAAATTACTAACCTGTATGAGTCTTTACACAAGGCACTTCTTATTGCACAGAAGCTACCTGTGCTGCCCTCTTACCAGTTACATAACCAGCTCTCTTTGAGAACTACAGAACTACACCCCTCTATGTTTTGAAGAAGAAGGGGAGGTGTTCTGTATTCCTTTTCTTGGGTAACAACACTGTTTCTCCATAGATACAACATGGCAAGCGTGTGCTGTCGCTTTAGGACAAGAATTGTGTTGCTGGCAGGATTACAAGGTGTAAATAAAGGGGAAAAAACAGCAAACAATTAATGTAGTTGGACTGGTAAGCTGTAATATATTACATTTTTGTTCTTGGGTGCAGATACGCTTTATGATCATTCAATGCTCACAGCTGACTGGCGTTGGTTTTGTTCCAATGTTAATGTCATTATTTGCTGTTATAATGGTATAAATATGATAAAAATGGTACAATGGCATACATATGTGGTTTTAATAACCCTAATAAAGCCGTGAGATTGCCCATTTCAACATAATTTTCCGGTCTTTACTGGGCAAGACCAACTTTGACTAGTGTGTTATTTCTTGTTCATGCCTATGCAGTTCAGCAACCAGAGAAACAACAAAAAAAGACACAAAGAAAACTTATAAGGGGCATGATGATAGAACCCCTAGTGGACATTTAAATGCAGTGTGCAGACCGCTAATTAACAAGGTTGTTCCGTTCAACCAATAAGAAATCAGATTTTCGATGTCTATCTGGCTAAAAGCTGAATTCTGTTACTGAATGATATTATTGTACATCAATACATGACATATAATAAGCATCTATAAAAGTAATAAAACTTACATGAAATGGATCCAGGATTTTCACAGCAGCCTTGCTCCCATTTTCCTTATTCATCACTTTAAACACCTTACCGTATGTTCCCTTTCCAATCGTTTCCACGATTTCCCAAGTGTCAGACGGGTCAGGAAATGCATCAAATGCAAATGACTTTCCGCGTAATGAAAACATTTTCCACACATCACCCTGAAAAAAAGGAAGCATGCTGTAAACTCACGCAGGATGACCATGGTTCTCCTCTCATTAGTTCAAATGTCAGTAATGTATGACTCATTGGGGTTCATTTACTAAGTACAGAATAAAGTGGAGCGGTGTTCACTTCAATCATTCAGTTATGTGCAAAGCAACTATATTTTTTTAAAGTGAAAGTGGAAGCATTTCTTTTATCTGTTATATTTTATCTTTATTATTTTACAAATCTCATCTCAAAAAATCACCCAAACTGTCTTCTTCACTCCTCCCAAGACCTCCTGCGCTCTGGCAGCCTTGTCAACTCCACCCATGCTCACCTCTAGGACTCCTCCGGAGCCTCTCCCATCCCCTGGAGCGCCCTACCCCAACCAGTCTGGCTATGTCCTTCCACCTTTAAGCAATCTCTGAAAATGCTTCTAAAGCTCAGGTGTGAGCAGGGGCCGTAGAAATGAATGGAATTCCTTGTCTTGAGTGTTTTGCCGTGCTTACCTTTGAGTGACAAAAAGCCTAGGAGTGAAAGGAGACTATATGTGACTAAATGTGTAACTGTGGCCACGCTGTGGACATTCAAGTATTTCCATAATCTTAGCAAGAAGTAAATGTGCTTTAAAAGAAGTCCTCACTGACCTTTGTAGCTGCACACACTGAGGAGCAACTAACTCTCAAAGTTCACAGTAGAAGCACTGAAGTACTTCCTTTTATTTACTCAGCAACTCAGCTCATCCCACTCCCCCTTCCCAGAGCTATAACTCAGTGTTTCCATTAGAGATTTGAAGGCTGGAAGGTTGCAGAGTCACTGCTGGGAGATGGAGTAGGAAGAGCTGCTGGGAGGGGGGAGCAGGAGTAGCTAAGCTGCTAAGTCACGGCTGGCAGAGGAAAGAGGGGGAGCTGATAAGAAAATTTGAAGGACTTCTTTACTACCGCTGTGAACTTTGAGTAAGAATTGCTCCACAGTGCCTGCAGCAACAGACATCAGTGGGGGAATTGTTTCAAAATTAATTTACTACTCGTTAAGTATATGTGAATACTTGAATGTCAACAGACAAGCCAAAGTTTCACATTAAAGCAAAACTGTTCTTAACCCTTGCAGTGGGGCTACATCTGCACTGCAAGGGTTATGTGCTAATTTTTGTCTAGATGCTAAAAAAAAGTTGTTACTCACCCGCACCATGGAGCCAGCTGGCTGCTACTCCAGTCCATGAAGCCTGTCACATCCCTAAATTGCAGCAATGGTATGTCTCTCGGCGTTCTCACGTTCTATACACTGTGTATAGAAAGTGATGACTCAAGGATCTCTAGACCGCTGCAGTGGAGGGGGAGAGGGGGTGGAAGAACCGGTCTACGAGCAAGCCGGTGTTCTATCAAAAGCTCCAACTCATCGAGATCTCCAACTACCTCACTTCCGGTGCTCAGAAAGACTGGAGCTCTGTACAGTTGCGGTGCGCATGCGTGCATAGCGTTTTTTAGAATACTCGTCGAGTTTGCCACCTGCTGAATATTGTTAAAATGCAACTGTACAGAGCTCCGTCAGTCTTCGTGTTTTGCAGTCTAACGTCGTCTGTTCAAAATCTCCAACTTGCAAATACACGGCAGTGAGTTAGTTGGAGATGTCGACGAGTTGGAGCTTTCGATAGAACACAATCACTGATGATCGGGTAAAGTATAACCTTTTCTTAGCATCTAGACAAAAATGAGCACTTGACCCTTGCAGTGCGGGGATAGCCCCACTGCAATGGTTGAGAACCGTATTGCCTGGAGTTCTGCTTTAAGTTTAAACCAAAAAGAGGTTTTTGTTTCCAGAAAAAATATGTATTGAAATGGAGGTTGTCATGTAATTAATGGATAGCAATCATTCCGGCCTATTCAAGATAATATTTGTGATCACTGCTACATTACTTGTTACTCCATATTCCAGTTTGCTGAATTAAATTTAAATATATAATTATCTGATAATTGCTCATTAGCGTGCCATGGGAGCCATAATGGCTGCAGATTAGTAAAATTAATGTACTGTGTTAAAATATAACACTTTCGGGCTTTGATCCCCTAAGGCTTGAATTTGTATTTTTTTTGCACCCTTTAATAATAATCTGATGTGATATATGTGGGTGGAATGTAAAATACTGTATATGTGCTCTTGTCAAAGTTTTCTACATCTACTTCTGCATCTGATTCACACTAAGGAGCCACATACAAGACCAGTACAGCTAACCACATACTCATTTTACATGATGGGAATACTGGTACCATTCGCTAACCAGTGTGTAAAATGTCCTGTTCCTACAAGGAAATAAGACTTCGGACTCTCATAAAAATTCAGTATGTCACCTGTCATCGTAGGCTGAAGAAGGCTAATGAGTTATAACAATATACTTTATACAATTAGTGAACAGATGTCAGCTGTTCGTTCTGAACATATACAGCTATTTATCATTTACGGCAACAAAATCCAAGTCAATGTCAACTGGCAAAGGGACTGCATTGCCACTAAGATTTATAGTGTACTTAGTGTTGCATTAAATAAGAACTCCGGGCAAATTAAATCTTAACCCTTGCAGTGGGGCTACCCCCCTCACTGTAAGGGTTAAGTGCTCATTTTGCCTAGGGAGCTAAAATAACATATATACTCACCCGAACTGCGATCCTGGCTGGCTCCAACACCGGGCCCTTCAGGCTGTCTCCCCCTCTGCTCCAGTGGTCTAAGATCCTGTGAGTCATTGGGGTTGATTTACTAACCTTATAAACACACCACAGACATGTATACACCTCTGTAGTGTGTAGTAGTTGCTTGCGTTGATGAATGCAGGAATGTAAATGCATGAGCTAACCATTTTTGTCTAAACTGTGAAGCAGCATTATATATGCATCAAGTGCATGATTTTTCCATATATGGCATTAGTGGAAATATGGTTTTAGAGACTTTTTGGTTGATAAATACGTTTTGCTGTGTGATAATCACACGCACCTGGTGCGTGCGTGTGTTTAGGTTAGTAAATCACCCCCCATGTCTTATACAGTGTATATGACATTAGGATACCAATGGACATTCCATCGTTGGAACGGAAGGGAGCGAAGCTGAAGGGACTAGTCTAGGCGCCAGCCAGGAGTGCAGTTCCGGTGAGAATATCTTATTTTAGCTCCCTATGCAAAACAAGCACTAAACCCTTGCAGTGCGGAAGCAGAGCCTGCATATGTAATGAGCACACAAATGTACGCCTATGGACATATATCATTCAAAAATATACATAGAAACAAGGTTGTTTAAAAAATAAAAATGAACACCTAGTGATCACACAAAGCAAGTACTGTATATGGCTAAAATATGGTGCATCGTTAAGGGCAGGTTTACACCATTTTCCGGACCAGATCGGGTTCGGAAAATGGTGTGAACCTGCCCGCAATTCCAGTGCATTCCAGACCAGACAAAATGAGACATGCAGTATTTTTCTGGTCTGATCTGGTCTTGAATGGACTTCGCTGATGTGCACAGAGGCCAGAAATAACATAGGGGTACATTAGAATGCATTTTGGGTCCGCCGGAAACAATCTGGTCTGGAGATCATCTAAATGTGGTGTGAATTGGCACTAAATCAAACCCATATCCACCTCGGTCCCTGCTGCACTTAGCTGTTCAGATGACATACTCCTGATGCCAGCTGGAAGAACATGCCGCACACTTCAAAACTTCACTACACAGCTAAGGAGACTGGCAATGGCAAGCAGTCATTGGGCAGCACAGCCATGGTACTGACCAATAAGAATCTCTCCTGAGCCTTCTTTTTTTCTGGGATGGCGTCTCTGAGTCTTCTTTAACATTACATATACTAAATCTGTGCAACCCCTTGGTAATGTCGGGGGCAGCAGTTGAGGCCCTCTATTCCTCATTAATTCACCATCACTGTTCTAGTGCCTAATCTACAAATCTTTCCGTTCAGTAAAATAGCAAATAATTAAGGAAAAGGAAGAGTTTACAGATGAGAAAGTCATTTTCAAATGAAGGCAAAGCCAGCAATAATAACTTCAAATAGGTGCTCAATGATAAAACACTATATATGAATTATCTCTAAAGTAACAGCGTCCAAATCGATTCTCTGAATAAAGGTTAAACGTTCTATTTATCTAAACACAAACAACAAGGTTAGGTTAAGCTGATGTCCTTCCATGTATAGTTGAGTACCTGTTAGATTGCTCAATGTGGCCCCTGACCTTATCAGTCCATGGGGCTATTGTAACTTCTGCCTCTCCTACGGTTACACCTTAGCACTTCTTCTATAGTGTGTCAGATTGCAGGTGGAAGCTTCCTAGCCTCTTTCTTAGGCAATGTTGCATCTCACACCTAACCTATTATGTCTGTATTTGTAGTGATGTAGTATATGTAGTATTTGTAGTGATGGCAAAATGAAACAAGATACACGCTCACCATCAGTGCAGCCATTTGTGACCCGCAACTTGCTGTTTAAATCCCACTGCTCTGGTAGTACTGGACTGGACTTGTGTTTGTGTACTTTATGAGGATAGATTTGCATGCTGTTCCATTTTATGTAAAGAGGAATGTATTTGTCACATCAATAAATACAGTGTA